TCCAGTACTTCATGGAATCAAATTATATCACATTAAAATGTTATTAGTTTAAAACATATTAAAGGGTATGTAAGTCTGGGCCGGCGCATGAATATTTAAAGCTCACATTACACGGAGAACTATCGGAAGAAGAAGGGGTGGGAGAGCTAACAGCTCATCGTATAAATATTGATAGAAATAAAACGTCCTACGTATAAACTTTCTTTAGCAAATTAGGATTTTACTATTTACAAATTATGGTATTGTTAAATTTAAAGGGACCTATAAGAAGAAATAAACTGATTTACACTTGTTCTCAGTGATAAACAATCAGTGCCAGTAAATCTTTTCAATGCCCCGTTTTGGATCTTAGGTAATAGTGGATTGCTGGGAAGTGTAAGCAAATTTTAAATACAACTGACTGCCCGTTTTCCATAGTCATATATTGCGAATGTAACTTCAAGGGAGTAAATTTTATCTCAAAATTCTCCAAGAATTGCTTTGAAACCTCGTCTCTGTGCATATGTATCCGGCATACACTTGACGTCTGCCATGTGTACCTGTGCACTGGAAACCAATAGTGGAACTGAATTTAATTACTGGATTGAGTTGAAATGAACCCATGCAAACGACCCAGGTCTGCCCTCTTTGAGGCTTCTCTGTATAACGCGTTTAATTAAAGCAAGAAAAGCAGTAAAGTAAGACAACAATAGCGATAACCCACCATGAGCACCAGGTTCCCCGAATACAGCCCCATGGTGTTTTCCAGCGCTACCCGACTATTTCTGGGTGGCGAGCCGCTAACACATGGTGCTACCAGCAGCCACACCTCGAAGCCCTTTATACGCAGAGGACCCCACTGGCAGCAGAAATGGGCGTTTTGACCCCAACCATTCCTCAGCCCCTTTCTGCCGCCGGCGCCGCTAGAAAACTTGCGGCGGCGACTGGCCTGCGTTACGCGCTTTTTGCGCTCTGCGCCCGGGGAGTTACCAGTGGAGAGGCGCCCCCATCCACCCGAGCGCCGCCCCTAGGCAAGCCCCAAGCTTATACCGCGAGGGACCTACTCGCCGCGCCTCGGCGTCCACCCTCAATCCTGACACCATCCAGACCCGGCAAACGAAGCAGGGCGGGGCTGGGCATTAGGGGCGCCGCCTGCGGAAGGTGCGGTGCCACGTGCGCGCTGCAAGGACCCCGAATCCTGCAAGTCCAGCTGCGGCCTCAGCTGCTCCCAGAACTGGGCCCCCAGCTTTAGGGCGGGGCCTCCTCCTCGCCTCCAGTCTGGACGTCGGCTCCCACCCACCCTCAGCGCAGGCCCCAGCCCGGAGCCGCAGGGTTAGAGTCGTTCCCCGCGGCTTCTCCCAGGGCTCGCCCAGAGCGAGGCCCGCTGGTCCAACCTTTGCTGGATTCCGGGCTGGGGATCTCGGGAGGGGGGCACTGGGTCGGACCGAGCCCCAGTCCCGGCTCCACAAGCTCTGGAGTCCCGGGCGTTTCCTGGCGGAGGGGAAGAGCCCGAGCTAGGCTCCTCTCCTCCCGAAGTCGGCCTCCCCCTCCCTAGACTGCAGCGTCTTAGCTGGAGGGAAGCTCACAGCGTGCCTAGGCCAACCCCTTCTGCGACTCTTTTCTTGTCCTGTCACTCTCTGTTCTCGGTTTCGGCTTTCTCCCTCTTACAGAATACCAGAGCGCGCGGGGGCCGGAGAAGCCTCCACACCAGCCCCTTTCCTGGGCCTCCAATCTGCCCTTCCCCACAGTCTTGTCTCTCACTCGACATATTTCTGTCTCTATAGATTCTCCCCTCATTTCCCTGCAGGTTTAACCAGCGTGTCTCTCTGCCTCTCTAAATCTGCCTCTCCCTTTCTCCATGGTGTAGCATTAAACAAATCCAGGTGTATCGAGGGTGGAGAAATTCCGGCAACATGGACAGAAAGAATGCCTTATTCTGTCCTTGCAACATTTCCGGTCACTACAGTTTGGCTTCCCCTTGAGGTGGTGCCTGCGCCGGTAACGCCATGCAGGCCGCAGCTACCGAGGCGCCGGCTCGCGCGCTCTCGCTCCCTAGCTGTGTATGCGTATGTTCGAGTGTGGATTTATATGTCTGTGGTTGCAAACCGGGCAGGCTTTCCAAACCGAAAGCTGAGCGGAGTTGGGTTTCTAGGATTCTAGGGCTGCGGGCAAGGGAGGTGGGGGACTTTTCGGGGGGTCCCGACGCCCATCTGCGCTTAGACTCCACGCGTCCCTAGCCCCCTGCCAAGTATCTCTAGGGCCGAAGTATCAATTCCGCGTCGTCCGAAGAGGCTCTCCACCTGCTCCGCGGCGGGGATCCGCCCCTAGGCCCAACGCTGCTGGAGTCCGGGAGGTCCGAAGCAAGCTGGCCAGGCGCAAGCGGAGATCGACCCACAGCGGACAGGGTGCGCAAGGGAACGGCGGCTGGTCTGGGTATCCCGCGCGGGGAGGGGGGGGGTGTCTCTGTGAATTCTGAGCCTGGCACTGGCGCCGCGCGACCCGCAGGGTTATGACTAGGGGCGGGCGCCCCCTCGGGAACGCACATTTGTTTCGCCTTGGTCCGGAGCGCGCAGAGTAGGACGCGGCGGCGCTGGGGTCAGGTATTTCGGAGCACCGTGAACCCATCATTTCTGATGCTTGGCCTAATCCTCTGCCCTTCCTGGGTGCAGACAGGAACAGAGCAGTGCCCGGTGTCTCCTCCCTAATCCAAAAGCCCCACAAAGCCAAAACACACATGCAAAACTCATCAAAGCATCTCACAAATACAAAAACTAAAGCCAACACACGAAAAATATAAACCAAAACCCCCATCCAAACGCTCGGCTCGTAAAAACAAAATAAAAATAGAAGAAAAACAAAACACAAACACAAAATTCACCTAACGCAAAACACACAGACGACACCCACTAATTCAAAATCAAAACACATCAAAACACCGCGCAGAAGCAACAGCCTTCAAAACGACACACAAGAAGACACCCTCCAAGGACAAAGTACAAAATACATAAAATTAAAACCCACAAGACAGAAAACAGAAACCACCAAAAAGACCAAGACTCATAGAGCCAAACCCTCTAAAATGAAATCCACGAAAAAACTACACGCAAAATACCCGAAACAAAGACTCTCTCATAGATTATGAAAAGAAAATTCACGGGAAACAAACAAAAACAAAACAAACCCTCTAAATAGAAAACAACCCCAACAACTCCCGCCCCCAGCTTGGGGTGAAATGTCAATTCCGGAAGGGCTTTTGATCTCTAGGCGCCGACAGGCCGCTCCTCCTCGGCTCTGCCACCCCGCGCGGGCTAGGCGAGAGGGCGGGAAGCAGGAGCTGGGGCTGGATAGCGGAAGGAAGAGTCGAGCGCTCAGAGAGGGCCAAAAATCAAATCGCCGGGGCAGGGACCCCGACTCGAAGGCTGCAAGGGGGGGGCGGGCGCGGGGGAATCCACAGCCACGTTTCCGATTGTGGCGAAATCGGCTCAGTGGATAAGAGATGTCCGGTTCCCGCCAGCCTCCCCTCACCCCCCTTTTCTCGAGCTCTGGGCTCTTCCCCCTAGGTTGCGGCCCAGCCTCGTGACCACCCCCTCCAAAAAACAAACAACACTCTCGCTGAGGACGATTCACTTTCCGAAACTGCCATTGTCCGGAGGGCCAAGAGTCCTCCTGCAGAGCGCTCCCCCGCCCTGGAGAGCCTTGCCCCTGCGACCACCCCACAGCGGGGCCGCACAGACGTCCAGTGGCCAAGCCTTGCAGCTGGACTCGGGACGGGGGAGGGGGGTAAGGGAGTGAAGTTTTAAGCCTGAGCCGAAGAGAGCGGGCTGGACATGCCACACTACTGCCCGGTCTCTCTCCGGCTGATTTTCCCTCTGGACTCAAGTCCTGAGGCTCGGGCACGCAGCAACGCCTCGGGGCTTGAGGGAAGAGGGATTCCATTTATGGGCCGGGGTAAGGTGTCCCGGACTCCCGCCAGTCTCCAGGACCTCCTCAGCGGAGGGCCGGATTTTATCTCCAGCATTTCACATATGCACCGGGCCAGAATGGGACGTGGTGTGGGAGGGAGCTCTGGCACTAGGAGGCTGAGTGGGGACCTGGGAACTTCAGGGTTCTGGCACTACCCTAAAGTCAGGGACCGGGCAATGATATTAGAGCTGCAAATTGGGGTGGGGGTGGGTGGCTGAGAGCTCTGGGGGCGGGCGCCGCCCTAGGGGTGAATCTGAGGAAACTGGAACGCCCCCTCTCTGCCTGGCGACATTACTTGCGTTTGCACCCCCTTCAAAAACACCTGCTGGGCAGGGTGGTTAATTTTTTAAAAAACAAAAACCCGGCCTGCACCCGCCTACGCGGCGGGGCTTACACCTAGAGGGGTCACCCGCCTCGCGCACCCTGCACAGGCCGCGACTCCAAGACGCAGGGATTTGTAGAACATGCGGCCACGAGGCCAGGGCTTCCCGGCTTGCCTTCGGTTCGCACCTTACCGTGGGCGCGCGGGCTAGCGCCCGGCTCCGTTTAAAGCCTTCCTTCCCTCCCCCCAACCCCCTATAAAAGTCCGGGGCTGCGCGGCAGCGGCACTGCTGCTCTCCCGGCCTCCCGCACTGCTCCGGCCCGGCCCGGCCCGCCCCGTCTGGCCAGCTGAGCAGGCCCGGCCGCACAGCGCGGACACCCTTTCCCTGCTCCGGCCCGCAGTGCGGGGCGGCACGCTGGGGGCGCGGCGTGTCTGGGGACATCTTGTGATGTTGGCGAGAACAGGACATGATCTCACATGGCGAGAAGCTCTTTAGTTCCTTAATCATTTCACGGTGCCTTCGGACGCTTTTTTTCCACCTAAAACGTTTAGTTTCAGCTCAGTGATCAGCTACCCCAGCTCGGCGGGGGAGCGGAAGGCTTGAATTATTCCGACCTGTGAGCGGCCCCTGGCACCAAAAAAAAAAAAAAAAAAAGAAAAAGAAAAAAAAAAGAAAAGAAAAGAAAGAAAGAGAGAGAGAAAAGAAAAGAAAAAACACAAGGAAAAAGAAAGAAAGAAAAGAAAAAAAAGAAGCACAAAAAAAGTGGAAACTTTTTCCCCCTGTCCACTTCAAGTTCTGAAAAATCAAAATGGATTTAGAGAAAAATTACCCAACTCCTCGGACCGGCAGGACAGGTAGGACCGCGATTCGGGCTCCAGGCGTGCTAATTCCAGGACCCGGCCAGGTCTGGTCCTCACGGGCCCGTCGGCCCTGGGGGAGGGAGTGAACCGCATTTTCTCAGGAATTGACTGCGTGCCTATCTGCGGCACGTTTGTATGTCTTTTCACCAATTTGTTCGCACACTTCTGCATCAGCTCAAGTGTCTGTGAGTTTGTGTTTTTCTCTGTTTCTGAATGTTTATGTGGGTGACTATCTGGGGCTCTGAAAGTTCGTTTGGGTCTGTGTGTTTACATAGGGGCTCACAGTGTGCATGAGTGACACTGAGTTTGTATGTCCCCGTATATGTATTTTCACAATGTGTGTGCTCAAAAATTTATGTGCCTGTGTGTATGTGTATCCTTATATTCATGGGTGTGTTAGTGCATGTTTATGAGTTGGTGTTTCTGGGTACTGTACTCTGCGTATCCAAAATGTGTGTGAGTGGAGTATGTGTAATTTGGACAAGTGTCTGAGTGTCCATCTACTCCTTTAAGGGTCTCTGTTCACCTGTCATATCCTAAGTGCTTTTGGAAGTGAAAATGCGGTGGTTACACTGACCCCTCCATTTTTGGATGTCAGCAGCTTTTCACTGTGTCTATGCCAACATACACAAAAGTGCCTGCCTCTAGGCACAGAGATGGATCTAGGGCTGTGTGTTTGGGGGGGGGGGCTGTTGTGCTAAGCCTGTGTGTAGTCAGTGTCAGGACACATTCTGTTGGGAGAACTAGGAGTGGAGGTGTGATTTCAGGGCGTGCAGTCCCTCTGTGTATGGTGTGCACTGCTTCACTCTGTGGGCACTGCTGAGCCTACCATTTGTATAAAACTGTTTCCTGTGGCAGGCACAACCTTGGCAAGGGAAGGTAGGCAACCCATATGCTAGTTGTGACATTTCTAGGGACCTCTAACCTGCCTTCACTTTCACCTAGACATGCCTTTTACAATGGTGTGTGTGTGTATTGTGTGCTCAGGTTTTATCTTGTGGGTGCTACTCCAAAGGAGGAGAGCACAAGTGGGTGGACATGTGTGCCTAGCCTGGGCATCCAACTCTGGTGCCTGTATGCACATGGGCTTTCCTGGCACAGGGCCTGATGTGCCACCCACAGGCCCAGGCAGTGGGTAGCAGAGTGTGTTTATATCTAAGAGGAGGTGGCAGGCAGCAGGAGGCCTCAGTTTGTCCTGAGATTAAAGCTGGGTATAGGAGCCTCTTTTACTCATTAGACCAAGTGTACTAACCCCTACCCAAACACACTCCTGACCCTGCTGGCAAGAATTCTTCCACTTCTCTTATCCCTGTGGCTCTTTGAGGCCTCCACCCCAGCCTTAAACACAGGTCAAAAAGCAGTGAGAGAGGGGTGGACTTATACTCCAAACCCAGGACAACTCTCTGGGCATAGGTAGATTTCCAGAATCCTAACAAGTGAGGACAGAAATCTAAGAAGTGGGGAATTAAAGAGGATTCCCCAGGGTGAAGGTGCAAGAAAGGGAATCTGCGAAACTCCCTCTGCTCCATCCCCACCTCCCCACCCCCTTGGGTCCCTTGGTAGGTGGGACTCCCAGGGTTGCCGGCGCCAGATCAGGGAGTAGGTCTTCTGTGTATGTTGGGAATGGGTCAGAGGCACGTGGGGGTCTGGGGGACTGTCTGCGTGGCTGGCGCGGCTGCCTCTCCCTTCGAGAGCTGTCTACCAAGAATGTAATTCAGGGCGGTCGATGGGCTCTTTGATTAGTTCAATCGCCTGAATAATCGTTTAATCAATAAAGCATTTCATTCCTCAGTAAGGCGGACCTGGGTGGGGCTGGGGGTCCTAGTCTGGCCCGAGTTTAAAAAATCTGGAGAGCCACGCCCCCTCTTCTCCTTTGGGCTGGGGTAAGGGCCTCCTGCCCCTGGAAAGGGCGGAGCTCCCAGGTGACACTGCACTTCCGCCTGTCTGCACCTGCCTGGGCCCCAGGGGTGGGGGTGGGGGAAGAGGAGAGAGCTGAGAAGCTGGCCAGGGAGGGGGCATCCACGTCTGGTTTTAGGGGTTTTGTATGGGCTTCTCCCATCTCCCAACTTGGAGGCCTTTTTTGGGCCACTTGACCTCCTTTTCCTTCCTTCAGAACTGTTTTCCATTCCCTCTCACGACCTCAGTTTCCCCATCTGTACAATAGGGAAGGAGTATATATACCTTTTTAGCTCTAAGCCCAAGATCAGGTAAGGTCAGCCTTAAGCACAGAGCCACTTAAGGATCCTTCTGTCTAGCCTCTTCATTGTGGTACCAAAAAGGAAAAACTGATGTCCAGAAAGAGGGGCAGGGACTTGTCTGACATCATACAGCAAGGAGTACGGAGGGAGTAGGACCAAAAGGTGACTTCTCTGCCCTTAACCCCTCATTCTTGCTGGGAGAGGAGATAGAGCCCCATCTCCCAAGGCCCCCCTTGGAGAAAAAGTACTATTGGCCAAGCTGGCTTTAGGAGTCCAAGGCCAGGAGGGCCAGAAGAGGCTGAACACTGTCTGGGCATTGGCATCCAGCCCCCCAGCTCTGGAATGAGCGTTTCGGAATAGCAATCCTCCCTAGCCATGGATCTTCATCTTTCAGAATCTTGGGAGGCCTCATCTCAAGGGTTCTCCCCATTAGACATATAGGGAAGCTAAGCCCTAGAAGGGGCCCATATCCGGAATATTTGGGAGAGAGAAAGATAGTGCCAGAGCCCCTGGCCTGCCGGGTGCACTGCTAGTGATAACAAACCCTGACAAAAGCAGTTAACATGGTTCTTGAAAAATCTGGTTAAATTCTCCTATCTTTCCACCTACTTCAATGATGCCTACAGAAAGATCTTGATCCAGGTGCAGCAATCACACTGGAATCCACTCTGCCCAACTCTCTATGTAACCGGGGTCAGTTGCTCTCTCTCTTTGATACTTTTTAAAATGAGGGTCAGAGAGGGGGCACCTGGCTGGCTCAGTTGGAAGAGCATGGGACTCTTGATCTTGGGGTTGTGAGCTGGAGCCCCATGTTGGGTGTAGAGATTACAAAACAAAAACAAAACCTTAAAAAAAATAAAATAAAATGAGGGTTATAAAGAGAGGACCTACCAAGTTAGGACTGTGATGGCAGCAGTGTCTCTGACCCTCCCAAACTGAGCACCTAATCTGAGCCCTGTCGGCCTTGCTTTGCCTGAAGCAAGACCAGGGATATGGGCTGGAGAAGTCGATTTCAGGCCCCTAGAGCCCTATAGCAGCCCCAAGCCCCAGACACATGCTGGAGGGGTGGACTTGGAGAGAAAGGGGAGGCGGGGAGGGAGTGTGTTCTGGGTGAGTGCAGGTTGTTGACTGAAGATCAAGGTGGATGTTCCTCGGGAGGTATTTTGGCTTCTCAATTAATTCTCAATGGGCTTTCTTTCAATAGCAGAACTTTCAAAGGCAATTCGACTTCTATAAATTGAATTTCTTCCCGGATGGTTTCCTTTTCCAGTATCTGCCGTCAGCGCTTAGCACAGGGCCCTGCCCAAAGTTGTGCGGTTGGGGGAAGGTAACCCCGTGACAGTTGCACACAGCGAGGCCCGACCGGATTCAGCGCCAGGGCGGTGAGACCAGCTCCCTGCTAGTCTAGTCTGTCTCTTATTTGCTTGTCTCACTCAGACTCGTGGGCTCGTGGGCCCTCGGAGGCCGGACTGTGGCGCGGGGAAGCCCGGCTCCGTCAGGGAATCGCTGTGTAATCTCGCGCTAGTCATGTTACTTCTCGGGGCCGCTGTTTGGAGGCCTGTAAGGCTAGGGTAGGTGGCCAGGATGTCAGGTCTGGTGACGCCTCTTGGCCTGAGAAGTTCTCGGAAGACGGCCTGCTTGGAGACTGGAGGCGGTGAAGAACCCCTACTCAGAGGGAATCTCCCCCTGTCCTGGGCACCTGGCGCTGCACACATTAGGCAACCCAACACCGTCCTGAAGCCGCACACCCTCTGGGTGAAATGGGAATCCAAGCTATTCCTGCTGGGTTAATATCAGCGGTACTCTGAGGATTCTGTCCAAGCCGCACAGGTATTGGGAGGAAACTGGTTTGTGCTGGCATATCCAACCTAACTAGATTCTTTGACTTGGCAGCATACACCCCCTCACTCCACCTCCAAACTCCCTGCCATCCTATGAGTGGCTCTGTAGAGGTCCTTCTGAGAAAGAGGTTCCCAGCCCACAGCCTTTCCTCTACCTTAGACTTTCTATGTGACCTTGGACAAGGCCCTGCTCGGCCTCAGGATACGCATCTGTAAAATGGGGAAAGCATTGCCTCAGGGCCCTTTTCGCTCTAAGACTTTAGAATTTGAGTTTCTAGGCCTGAAGGCAATGAGTGGGGCTGGAGGTGGAGGTGTCCCTGGCTGCGTCCCTCAGGGAGTACCCCCCCCCCCAGCCCCTCCAGGAACGCTGAGCCTCCACATCGAATTCTAGTCACTTTTTATCCACCCTGCGCCGTAGGGTGGAGAGAACGTGGGAACCCTCACTCATCCGGGTTCCTCTCCGCTTTTATGTTCTTCCTGCTCCAAGGTGGAGGTGCGGTTGAGGGAGTGGGGGACGGATGGTGGGGGGCCGAGGTTCTGGACCTGCGGGGTTCCAGACAAAGGAGAGAGAACGCAGCCACTCCACCCCAGGGCACACTGTAGTCTTCTGGGCCCCCAGAGGCCCGCCTGGGGCCGTTTAACGCAGCTGTGCCCTGGAGGGGGTGGGGACGGTGTCAGCACCGGAAACTTATCTACCGGTCAGGGACAGCTGGGTCTGGGACAGTAACAGAAGGGGAGACTGAGGGCCGACCTCAATGTAGGGGTGTGAGAAATGGGGCAGAGGTAGAGAGAAGGGAGACTGAGGCAGAGAATGAACCAGGAGCCCTCTCAGGGTCAACTTGTGCTCTCGGTCTTCCTTATAAGCTCAGTTCTGGAGCGACCATCTCAGAGCACCCCTCCCCCTTTTTGTGGACTTATGTTTAATATTACAGGATCATTACTTGTGAATTAGAAA